TCCTGGGTCATGGGGAAGTACAGATCTCTCTGAACTCATGGTGGGGACAATGAGAGACTGACAGAAAAGATGCAGAGAGGTCTAAGGAATATTGACCTTAATATTTGGGATATGCAGCTTAAATTCACAAGTGTGAAATAATAGGGTGAAATTCTTGTTCTAGATGAAGTTGGAAGCTCTAGTAAGGCAGAAGATGGACACTGTGAATGTGCAGGCAGAAAAGATGGTGGTGGCTCCTACAGACCAGACACACGGCCTTCTGGAAATAGAGGTGGGCACTGCATGGCTCAGAGCTTCTGGCACTGCTCTTGCTGTCACTCATTTGAGGTTTGACAAGCATAAACCAGCATCCAGTCACACTGTTTTGCTTTTTTCCTGGAAGTTAGTTTCTGTTCTTTCGTAATCCCACTGACAGAAGGCCTGTGTCCAGTTCCTTTACTCATCCTCCATGGGATCATTAGAGTAGTCACAGAACCTGAACGTGTGGCCCAGAGGGTGGGATTGCCCTTCGGCTGAGATCAGGAATAGATTCCTGATACTTAGTGCAAAACTCAGACAGACTGAGCAACCTTGTCTTGTACACACTGTTGAGCTGCACTGTAATTAATGCTCTTTGAGCAGATACAGTGAGCTGGATAGATCCAGTGTTCTTTATAATTTGAGACTTGTCTACTTATCACGAGAATTTATTGGAGCTAGAATAGTATACTAGAGGAAATACTACAATGCCTTTACCCTCTGTAATTCTGAGGCATCTGCTGCTAATCAGAGATAGAGTACTGGCCTGGATGGACTTTGGGTCTTACCCAGTGTGGCTGCTCTTGCAAATTGAGTTTAATAATGGCATCGGGAGTAAGCAGCTTATGTTAGCTTGCTGAGACAAGATGCTTCTTGAAAGTAGGCAGTGATCTTCTTCAGCAAAGGTTTTGGTGTCTCCTAATTACCTGTGTGATATCATTGTGTCTAAAGAATGATTTTTCCTCACTAGGAAAGCTGTAGTAGGATTTCTTCTCTGTAAGATAACCCGATTGTCAAGAATAGGCTGTGCAAATGTTTGCTTTTCTGGTTGGCTTCAGTGCTTTGAAACTAGAAAAAGTAGCATCAGTCCTAGTGACAAAACCTTCCAAGGCGGAGGAGAATCCATGGTGGAGGAAGAGCAGACATTTGTGCACTCTGTGTGCATGAAGGAACAGAGCTGTTGATCCCTTAATGAAATTATTTTTTTCTCTTTTGTAACCTGATCAGTGAACCCAGAAGATGCCAGAAAGATGCGAGAAACAGGCCTGCACCTCATGCGTCGCATGCTTGCTGTGCTACAAATATTTGCTGTCAGTCAGTTTGGTTGTGCTACTGGTCAGATTCCTCGTACCCTCTGGCAGAAGGACCAAGCCAACAAGGACTATTCCCCCTTAGTTAAAAAACTGGAGTTATCAGTAGAGCAGGTGAGGCAGCTAGCTATGAAACACCAGCAGGAAGACCACGTTATCAGTTCCTCCGATCTGCAGGACATTCCCTTAGGAGGCAGAGATGAGCTGACTCTAGCTGTGCGGAAAGAGTTGACCATTGCTTTGCGAGACCTGATGGCTCATGGACTCTATGCCTCTTCTCAAGGAATGAGCCTGGTATTGGCACCCATCGCGTGTTTGATTCCTGCGTTCACCTCATCCCCGCAGACCATGCACCCTTGGGAACTCTTTGTGAAGTATTACAACACTAAGAATGGACAAGCCTTTGTGGAATCCCCAGCTCACAAGCTCTCCCAGTCCTTTGCCTTGCCTGTGACAGGAGGAGTGGCCATTACCCCCAAGCAGAGCCTGCTGACAGCGATTCACACTGTCCTCACAGAGCATGACCCCTTCAAGCGCAGTGCAGACTCTGAACTGAAAGCTCTGGTGTGTATGGCACTAAACGAGCAGCGCCTGGTCTCCTGGGTAAATCTGATCTGCAAATCTGGAGCTCTGGTACAGTCCCACTACCAGCCATGGAGCTACATGGCAAACACAGGCTTTGAGAGCGCGCTGAACATTCTCAGCCGCTTGAGCAATTTAAAATTCAACCTCCCGGTTGACCTAGCTGTCCGGCAGCTGAAAAACATCAAAGATGCTTTTTGATGTATTTTTATTGTAGATCATCCATTTTCCACAAGTAGGCAGCTGTTGGGCTCAAGAAGCCTCGCTTTTTTAAGACCATGTTTGGCTCTTTGAAACTGATATTTGCTTTTAGGGGTATCTTATAGTGTCTTGATGCTGGAAAACTCTGTTTTACAAGGCTGCCACTGCAAAGCCGCTGGAGGTTGTGTGCTGTACAGCACCTCACCCTGCCCTTTTTATGCTGCTCTCGAGTAAAACTGCTTCGTGGGTGAGCAGATGCCAGTGAGCATTCAGTGTGTGAGGCTGGCTGCTCCACGTGAGGCAGAGGCCTGGTCACGGAGTCTACAGGTGGGGGAAAGCCCCTTAAAACATGCAGTTTGGCTCCTGTGCTGTGTCCGTGTGACTATTTCTCAAAGTTTGTGTCAAAATGATGCCCCTACAAGATGCCTGTCATGGGAAGAGCG